GGCTGATACTACGGAACTTTCGACTTTGTTTTATACAATCTTAAAATTTAAAAATTCAACCTCAGCGTTGCGACCGCACGTTCCAAAACAATAATACATTTCTAAAAGCATTTTTTTGGATTACATCCCTATTTTCGTTGTCCTCTTATTACCGAGAAGTAAGAAAAACAAGAACAAAATCTATTCCCATACCTGAGGATGTCTGTAGGAACAGACGAATGCTTGTAAAAATTAAAAAGACCTTGTGAAACTGGAATTTATAAACAGGCATCATATCATTCATATACTGGTTCGGGGTTAGTGTACTTTATTAAAATTGTTTGCGAAGATGTATTCTCGCCATTTAAATCATTAACCTCTATATCTGTTTTTTGTATGAATGATTCACGTGATATATATATATATATATATATATATATATATGCAAATGAAAGAAAGAAAAGATGGAGTGAAAATTCACTGTTCGTAGGATTTACTTTTTAAAAAAGTGCTCAGTACAAACTAGAACTATATGTTATTATTTTCATCATAAAATAGTATAATAAAATCCTCTTGAAATCACTACACAAAAGCTTTTATGCTTCAATACTTTGATTGTACTTCTTCAGGCGATGGTAGATAACTTATATTCATATTACTTACCATCGCCTGAAGAAGTAAAATCAAAGTATTGAAACATGAAAGCTTTTGTGTAGCGATTTCTGTTTGAATTTTTGGGTACCCTGGTGTACTAGTGAGCCAGCCAAAATGAGCTGACTCATTTTATAGTTCACCAATAGAAGATTTAACCAATCAGAAGGCTCAAAATATTCAATGCGACGTGTATAAAGGCGGCCATGTTTTTCTCGAATATTCACTGCCAGCCTTTGATATTGAAGACTGAAGAATTATGGAACAGCTGCTGGTGGTATTGGCGATATAGTCAGATTCAGTAGAGTGTCTGACTCGTGACTGTTAATCTTTAACGTTGTTTCATTGAACAGATTACGTACTGAGCTGTATTCTATATTCATTGACTATGGTGAACATGGTCAACAATTTCAACATCATTTTATTATAATCTTCATAATAAAATAATACATACATATATATATATATATATATATATATATATATATATATATATATATATATATATAATAAACATACACTGTTAAATATAAGAGACAATGAATGTCTATTATGTCTCATGATGATCCGTTCTAAGGTTCGTATGTTTGCTTTAATTGTCCCACATTTGGATAATTTTTATTAAGTTGATCTTTCATCTAAGCTTTCGGCTCACATGAGCCATTTTCAGAGTGGTTATATGGATATTTAAACAATGGTATTCACCGTCTAAGATTTATGGTGTCTAAAGGAGATCCCATCGCAAAAAAAAAAAAACAATGTAGTGTATCAATTTACATGCCCGTTCAGACATTGTATCTCTGATACTAATAATAATCACACCACATATATTGCTTTTACTACAACCACGCTCTCCCGTGGACTTACCTGTCACCTTTCTGATTTTCGTAATATTAAACAACATTTCTTAGAAAAACATAGCCATATACATAATATTAGACAGCTATTAGTTGATAATACAATAATACTCACACATACACACAGTAACACGAACCTTCAGATATTGGAGGCCATCTACATTAAAATAAAGCAACGCACACTCAACATAATTACATTTCAAACTAGTCACAACACATTATATTGAATCTAGACATATGATTCTTTTGTTAATATTTCGGTCTCAACGCGTGATATGACGTCATAGAACCGCATCATGAATTTACGACATGCGTCTGCTATTCCGCGACCGTTATCATCGCATAGCAATCTTCTATGTCAACATAACATGATCTTCCATGGTAAATATTTTTGTGTAACCACTCTGAAGATGGCTCATGTGCGCCGAAAGCTTAGATGAAGGACTAAATTAAGAAAAAATATGCAAATGGACAATTTCTATTATTACATTTATTATAATAAATTTTATTTATATAATTAAAAAGAGATGGGAGCAAAAAGAAAAAGAAATCTAAATAAAATCGGCTAGATTAAAAAAAAATTAAATTCCCAGCATCCCTCTTTCGTACACATGGGTAATTCAAATCGTGTAACAACATGGGATAATTGTCCACCCCACAAAATATTTAATATCAAAAATCAGTTTCTTTTTTCCAGATTTTCAGATATGATGTTCAGCCATCTTGAATCTATTTGTCGTAAGAATCACTGAAAAACCCTTTGAGTTATTCAGCTAAAAAGAGAACAGGTTAAAATCGTTTTGTGTCAGACCCGCTGTGTCTTCCCAAATGAGCAATGGTAAGAGGCAAATAGATCATCACGGTCTTTAGTAATGATACCAGCATTCATACCTGGCTTATATCTTCAAAGTCCATTCAAGAACAATCAAGAGAACGGTGAATAAGTTTAAAAAAGAGGGAACAGTAGAGAGGAAAACTGAATCAGGAGGTCACAGTGGGGTCATTGTTTCAACTTAGAGCTAAATACATTCTTATTGTTCAAAGTAGAGACCAATAGTGTTATCAAAACCTCGGAGAATTCCAGTAAGATATCTTTAATCATTTCTAAGATACAATTGTTCAAAACTTAATCTAACAAACAAACAATTTTGCTGTTACACCCGCTATATATGTTATTTTTAATTTATTTTATTTAAAAGGTTATTTTTGCTGGATATGCATATTAGAGTTGAAGCTTTGTTTTTTTTTGTTTTGTTTTTTTTTTTTATTAAACGGTATTTTTATCAAACTATGTCGAACGGTCAGGCAAATCAGATCCAATGACAGTTTACCTTTAGGATATGCAGGTTCGAATCCTTGCTGAAGACGCATATTTTTCTGGTAAGATTTCTCGAACATTTAGTTGTATAAAAAATCTGTTTAATTAAATAATATCTTTTAATTGAAATACATATCTTCTACACGTATATGAGTAGCTATCAAAAATAACGTTTCAACAAAATAAATTCAAAATAACAATATGTCGTATTTAATATATATATATATATATATATATATATATATATATATATATATATATATATATATATACTTGAGAAGACACCAGAAGTGTTGAAACAAAATGGCTATTTTTGTAGTGATTTTATAACATATTTGAATTATTATATTTGCTATACTCTGTATTGAGCACTCTTTTAAGAATAGTATTTGTTGGTTATTGGAATTTATTCCGTATACACCAATCTTATACTTGGGTATATATATATATATATATATATATATATATATGAATATCAAACATTTAAAATCCCATATGTAATAATTTTTATTTCACGAATGGTACAAAATCTTTCAGACCTGCAAACCAAATATTTCGTATTTGGTCTGCAGGTCTGAAAAGACTGAAAAAAATTTTTTATAGGTTTCATAAAATAAAAATTATTACCTTTGATATTTTAAGTGTTTGATATTCATTAATTAATAATTTTGCTCTGTCTTTGATATAGAACTATCCCTGGATGTATATCCTCTTGGAAATTCCATATGGATTACCATATCTTTTATCATATATATATATATATATATATATATATATATATATATATATATATATATATATATATATATATATATATGTATGTATATATATATATATATATATATATATATATATATATATATTTTTTAAAGAAATATTTTATATTCTTTTTAAAGTATGAGGTCAAATTTTCTGTACCTACAGTGCATTTGCTTTCATTTTGATCAGAAATAAACACTTAACTATTAAATTAATATATTTTGTTTTCGTCAATAAAAAACCATGACGACGAATGCTAATTTGCATTATTTGATAGTAAGATCAGCCTGGCGATAGACTGAAAAATAAAATAAAATATTCTGTAGGTACTGAAATATATATATATATATTGAAAAATAAAAAGTATTAAAAAATCAGACACACTGGGTAGTATATTAATATTCTTTCGTTTTTTTTTTATTATTATTTCATTTAGATTCCTCGACTAGTTTCGGCCAAAATGGTCATCATCAGGAGAAAAAAAAATCTGCTTGCTGGTAGCAGTGAACACAGAAATGAATGTCTTGATGGAGAAAATGAACTTTTGTCTGTAGTTTTCATTTGTTTTTTTTTTTATTTTTATGAATTTTGGTCAGTATTTGTATTGATCTGTTTTGAGTTGTTATTTAAGATAAGAGCTGGATGGATTCATGCTGCTCTGAATTCCCTTGGTCATTTTGACAGTTTGATTGGTTCCTGGAAACGGTATGTGTTGTATGATATGTGTAAGCGTGTATATTAATCTGGGTGTGTGTTATCATTTGGCTCATTAGGGCGTGAGTGAGTGATATTTTATATGCATGCATACATACATACATACATACATATATACATACAGACATATATATATATATATATATATATATATATATATATATATAATGAGAGTAGTTATAGTTTTTACGTAGATACGTACGCATAAATAACTTTCTACAACGTATATTTAAATGTTTTAATAAGCTACAATAAAAACTGTTATCTCCAAAATTAACGGCAGAAAAAAATTACGAATAACAAAATATCAACGGATCATCAATAAATTGTGAGATCGTCTAGAATTTGATCTTGGGCCGCCTTTTTTGATCTGGCGCACCAACAGCACTTTACACTAACCGCACGTGATGTAATCTTGTTTTGGATTTTTGGATTTCTAAGATTCTTCAACACAGATAACATATTCAAGTCAGATAACATTCTCTTTTTTTTTTTTCGTTTGTACATCAGTTGCAAGAGTAATTTTGTTTATTAGGGCCATTTTGATAAACCTCGGGGATGCAGTTTATCGTAATTCCTCTGAAGATAACGCCGTAACTGCGCAAGGAAAAGCATTGTTCTGTACTCATGAAAGCCGTTGCGATGTTACGTCTCGGCAGATTTTGGATTTGTGGCTACAAGATTTTTCTACCGATCTAATAACTAATCCATGAAATTGAACGTTAAAGAATCGCTGATAAGAGGTTAAAAAAAAAAGAAAAACAGGAATAGTTAAAGAAAGATTGGAAGAATAACAGAGTTAAGGAGTAGGAAGAGGAGTTAAGAGGGAGTGAAGAGGTGGGAAGAGGAGAAAAAATGGAAAAGCTATAGGAATTCATATGTGTGGGTGAACAAGAGTAAGAGAAACGGGCTAAGAAAGAAAGAAAGAAAGAAAGAAAGAAAGAAAGAAAGAAAGAAAGAAAGAAAGAAAGAAAGAAAGAAAGGGAAAGAGAATGGCAATAAGGAAAAGAAAGAAAGAAAGAAAGAAAGAAAGGGAAAGAGAATGGAAATAAGGAAAAGAAAGAAAGAAAGAAAGAAAGAAAGAAAGAAAGAAAGAAAAAGAAAGAAAGAAAGAAAGAAAGAAAGGGAAAAAGAATGGCAATTAGGAAAAGAAAGAAAGAAAGAAAGAAAGAAAGAAAGAAAGAAAGAAAGAAAGAAAGAAAGAAAGAAAGAAAGAAAGAAAGAAAGAAAGGTGGTAAGGAAAGGAAAGAAAGCGAAAGAGAATGGCAATAAGGAAAAGAAAGAAAGAAAGAAAGAAAGAAAGAAGAAAGAAAGAAAGAAAGAAAAGGAAAGAGAATGGCAATAAGGAAAAGAAAGAAAGAAAAGAAAGAAAGAAAGAAAGAAAGAAAGAAAGAAAGAAAGAAAGAAAGGGAAAGAGAATGGCAATAAGGAAAAGAAAGAAAGAAAGAAAGAAAGAAAGAAAGAAAGAAAGGTGGTAAGGAAAGGAAAGAAAGCGAAAGAGAATGGCAATAAGAAAAAGAAAGAAAGAAAGAAAGAAAGAAAGAAAGAAAGAAAGAAAGAAAGAAAAAGAAAGAAAGAAAGGGAAAGAGAATGGCAATAAGGAAAAGAAAGAAAGAAAGAAAGAAAGAAAGAAAGGAAGGAAGGAAGGAAGGAAGGAAGCAAGCAAGCAAGTAAGCAAGGAAGGAAGGAAGGAAGAAAGGAAGTAAGGAAGGAAGGAAGGGAAAGGGAATGACAATAAGGAAAAGAAAGAAAGAAATGAATATGAAGCAAAGAAACTGAGAGGAAGCAAAAGGCGGGGAGGAAAAATGAGAAAAAAATGCAGATGAAATCAAAAAAAGATTAAAAAAAATGTATGTTGAACAGCAAGAAGGAACATCAGACAAATACAGAGACAAATGGACGAATAATCGGTAAAAGAACCTGATTTTGTATTTGGATTATATAATCGCTAGCTTGGCTTACGTTTCTTGATTTGATTTGGGACCACGTTTGGTGATTTATAGGTTCCTACCGATTCCGTAGACATCAATTCTGCCTTTTTTTTTTACCTTTTTTTTTAAAAAACCTGATCCAGAAATCACCCTTCTTTTTTTTTCTATTTTTTTTTTTTTGTAATAATGAAGATGAATATAGTCATGTATTTATTCAGACAGGCTGAATGATGTATGCAATAGGTAATTCCGTATTTATTGAGCATATACTCATTTTCTGATTACACGCTGGTTCGTCTTTGATCTATTTCTCACAAAGTGAGTAGTATTTTACCATAATTAAGAACACGCTCAGCTGAAAAAAAAAGTAAACCGCAATGAACGATTATTCAGTTTAACATAGTCTGGCACAAGATCATTTTTGGATAAGAAAATTCCCACGAGATAGACTGCGATGCACACCAAGATGCAAAGTGAAGAGTAATTATCTATCCTGCAAAACCGACATTCAAAATACAAGGCTTTGATTCAACTATTAGTTCTGGTGAAAAATATTCAAATACCATGATGCCTGAAGAAAATACTCAGTTACAACGTAGGCTATCATAACATTCTCTCTCTCTCTCTCTCTCTCTCTCTCTCTCACACACACACACACACACACACTTTCTCCTTCTCTCTATCTTTCAATCTTCAGATAGACGGAAAGATGCCTAGATTGCCACACTACATAGTGACTCTCAGTTACACACCTCAATGGCATAGAACGTAAAACAAACAGTCAACATACATTGTTAATTCTTATGTCCAAACCGTCTACATCTATAAACTTCATCTATCTCCAATATTTCGCAATCACCATAACAATGGCAACTTTATATATATATATATATATATATATATTGTCATCCACAGACAGACTGTTTCGCTGTATCATAGTTCATCAGTGTGGCTAGACGTCCGGTTGCCTCTAGCAAGGATCGAAACCCGATGAATTGGCGTCAGTCGGGAATTCTACCCCTAAGCGCGGTAGGGATGAAGGTGAATTTGAGCGTATTTCTTTTTAAATAAACAAACAGTGACTGAGAGAACTCGTTTCGATTTACCGAAGAGTCTTGCATTATTAGCCGTAATAGTCACTTTTTAAAATCACATACTTCCTCCCAAGAGAGCTCAACCGAAATAAATTTTTCAGGAGCATATATATTTTCATCCATATATATATATATATATATATATATATATATATATAAAAATGTATTGACTTTTAAGATATGCTATATTTATGGCTATCTATCTCTAATACAGATCATTCATAATTAATATAGCAACTTATACATATATATATATATATATATATATATATATATATATATATATATATATATAATGATTTGATGCCACAGAATCCATAGATTGATTTAGAAATGTATGGAAAATTTGGACTCCGTATAAATAAATGAAAATAAATTTTAAATGAAAGTAGTTTTCTCATTTCCATCCATATATAATGCCGACTAATATAACCAAACGTGAGCATTGTATTTCCGGTGTTTGAGGCTCATATTTTGAGCATATATTATTTTTTATGTTTAGTGATACATTTCCTGAATAAAATTTCGCAAACCACTTTTGACAGTTTCGATAATTTACAGAACCTCCTTCATAAAATGTATAATTCTTTTCTTGTAGTTTTCAAAAGATTAACGAATAATATGCGCAAACTTTGCATGTTAGCAGTTATATTAGCGTGAAGTTTTAAAAGTTATCAAAATTACCCTTTTTTTCTGGTTAATTAATTTTAGAATAAGCATAGGAAATGCCTCAATTTCAACATTTTTTTTAAAAACGGACACTTATTACTGCAATAGAATTAAGAGATATTTTTAATGTCAGTCAGCTGTGTGCCACCATACCTTTTTATACAGGACTGACGAGGCAGATTATTTCCTACGTTGCCATTTCTTTCTGCGGTAGACCAGATGCCATCCAAGGCTATAGAATCTGTCCTGCTATTTACCCAGGAGATGGGAAGAAGTGGATTCATTCCTTTCCCAAGGTATTAGCACATAAGTGAATGTAATGGTTTCGACTGGAATTTGAACTCGGCTCTCCGAGTCCTCAATCCGAGCCGCTATCCATTACTCCATCGTGCCTGTATTGTTTAAGGCTCCTAAAACCATCTAACAATAAAGGTAGGGGGAAGAATTTGGAATATACTAGCACCATCGGTATCTTAAATGCTGTAGTTTGGAAATATTACAGAATTAAATGAAGTCCTTTTTTTTCAATATGAACAAAGAGTGTGAATCGACTGATGTCGCTCAAGAGAGAGCGACGGAGAGATGCGCTTTGTTTAATGAAGGACTAATTTTCTTTTCAACGTTACGCTAATTGTCGCCTCTAATTAAATACAAAGTAAGCGCTCCGAAGTTAATTTGATATTGCGTGCGTCATTTTTTAAAAAGAGAATTCATAACAGGACAGTCTCCGATTTGCGTTGTCAGTTTCAATTAATTCAAAGATGAAAGAGAAAGAAAACGTTCTTTTTTAATAATAATAATAAAAATTTTAATTTTTTAAATTTTAATTTTTTTTTTAAATTTGTAAAACATTTTTAATTTTTAGATTTTTCAAAAAATATCAACATTCAATTCAATGATTTTCTGAAAGAGTCCGATAAAGAATCTTCCGGAAGAACTTCATTTACCGTAAACTGCGGCGTACAAAAGTCGAGTTTTCAAGCCTAAAAAAGCTTTCCAAGACTATGGGTCGACTTATATGCATTTAAACTTCATTTAATCCGTAACTGCATTAATTCAAAATGTTTTTCAATGAAAGTACTTTAAACAGTTTACACCAGCGAGTGAAATAAAGGGTTCAGTTCGACATTCCAACAAACTGCTGAAGGCCGGAGCGTAGAACGGCCGAAACGTTGTGATAAATATGGCAACAGAGATTAGGACAATAGTTCAAATAATGTAAATAAAGTAGTTTAAAATAACTGAAGTCATCGAGTTACGACAGTCCCGACCTACGACGAATCGTGGTTTGCCTCGTACATACAACGCAAACGTTGTGCCGGAAGAATAGGTTGATGAAATCCTGATAAAAAAAAAAAGAACTGGAGTTTTTCTTTCTCCTCCAGATTTGCGATTGCTTTCGAGCACCGCAAAAGAGATGAGATCTTACGCAAAGTGTCGTAAATAAATAAATGATGATAGTATCGTATACTGTAGCCTCAATCCATTTACCGCTAGGCTTAAGGTATGGGCCACTGGTAGCCTACCGTATGTTTTTTGCGGGGAAGGAGTCGACCTATACGGTAAATATGGACTTAATTCAGAAGTTTGAGCTGAAAATCTTGAGGTCGACATGTTGCGCCAGTTCAACTTGTACGCCAAGTCGACTTGTGCGCCAGGTCGACTTGTGCGCCAGGTCGACTTGTTGTGCCAGGTTGCCTTTTTGCACCAGGTCGACCTGAGCGCCAAGTCGACCTGTGCGCCAGGTCGACATGTGCGCCATGTCGACTTGTAGGCTGTAATTTACGGTATAAAGAATCCTCTTCGGTAGACCTTTTCTTTCTGTAATGCACGCAAATGACAATATTTTCGTTTCTGATTTCAATGTAGTACTGCAGGAAAAAAAAAAACATTATGTAGACACCATTTTCACTATAAATTTACTGGTCACTTTATTATATATACGCTTCTGGTAATGGGTTGCATCCTTTTTAAAAGGTCGATAAAGCGTAAAAAACAAATCAATGAATCAAAGAATCCTGTTTTGCCGCTTCAATTTTTAGTCCTTGTTCTGCCATCCATTTACATACGCTTGTTAGCTAGGTTGCTTTCCACTGACCCCTTCAATATGTCCCGCGTGTGTCAAATTCTTCAAGACCTCTTTCCTCATTATGTGCCTTAGAAATTTCAACTGTGTCTTTCTTTATTCTTCTGCACAGTCGTGTCCTCGCCTCCCTCTGTCTTTTTTTACAAATAATTTCACGGTAACTGCTCCGATGTGCTGCTTTCGCTGGTTCCCAGACTTCATGAATTTAAGCGTTCTACTAGGCTGGCATCTCGCTCTCACCCTTTCACTGTCGAAAGTGTTAAATGTAGCCGTCTCTTCTACTCCAATAGCTTCATGTCTCGCACTTCTCGCCTGTGGAACTCCCTTCACATTTCTTGTTTTCCTGATAGCTATAATCTCCAACTAATAAATGTAACGTCAATCGACGTCTCCAGATGCTCTGATCTATCTCCTAACCTTCTCTTCATCCTTGCCTCTATCACTCCTATTTGCTCTCGCTCCAAATCTCTATAACCTCTTTGCGTGCTAGTGGCTTCACGCCTTGCTTGGGTGAAAAAAAATTTCATTTTTGTTGCAATTTTCCCTAAAACTCCCCCATTACTCACATGTCCAATCCACTGTATTCCCAGTATCCTTCTATAGAACCATATTTCTGTTACCTCAAATCTCTTCTACATCTGCCATAAAGGGGGGACAGATATTATATTAAATGTTAGTACTCTTTGTTTCTAACGAAATTTGCCTGTTTCTGTGATTCTCAGTATCCTTCTGTAGAATCACATTTCTATCGCTTCAAGCCCCTTCTTCATCCTTGAGGAGATTGTCCCGTAATAACTACAACAAATAATAAAACATGTTAGAACTCGGCTGGTCTGTTCTACCCGGACCGCGTTATTAAATATGGTCTTGCATCAAAAGGTTTAGGTGCCTCCACTAATTTTCGATGCGTAAAGTTTAAAACTAATTTTTAAAAATGAAAATACATTCTTGAAGCTTTCTTTTTAGCTATAATTGAAAGCTAAATGATTAAAATCACTATTTCCATTAAGAAAAATACTTTGACGTATTTCAAATCGAAATTATATTGATTACAATCGAATTTTTTTGTTGCTTTCAGTAAAGCCTTTTTGACACATTTTGACACATTTGTAAACAAAAGTTAATTCTCGGTTTTAAAAATCTCCCGAAAGTAAAATATACTTTTCTGAAATTTTATATGAAGAATATTAGCTGATTTAAAGCATGATTAATCTGATTTGAAAAAAAAATTATTTACTTAAATTTTAAAATAACAGAGAAATGGATTTTTAAAACAAACATTAGCGGTGATTACTTACTTGCCACTACCCGTCAATCACATAACAAGTACTGATAAATGCGTTGACAGATTTATTATTGTTCTACGGAGATATAAAATAATTTTGAAGTACTCAGTAATCTTAAAACTGTTGGAAAATATTCTCCTTAAACCAATTTTAGAAATATTGACTTTAAATTTACTCTCATCGCTCTTTTTCTGATAATAGCGTGTATGGTCGACCATACTTTCAAAATGGGAATGTTATATAATATTTTATATATATTAAAAATAATTTAAAAATCTTGGTACAAAATGATTTGTATTAAACTTTCAATTTTTGATTAGTAAGTATAGTTTTCACTTAATAACAATATCACCTAAGCAGATGAAAGTAAAGCAGAATTTTAAAGGATTTATAAATTATTATAATTAAATTTAAAATAAAATTAAAACAATTCTTGAAAATAATCATTATTGATCGAAAAAATGTTTTTTCTTAAGATAATAGTATCATTTAACAATCTTATTTATAAAAGCAGTTACACGTTTCCTAATTAAATAATGCCATAGTTGTATTGCACTTTTTTATTTTACGATTCGGAGCAGATTTTCGGGAAATGAGTAATAGTTTAACAGAAAAATGATGAGTTTAATTCTCCAAGGAGTCCTGCTTTTAAATAATGAAAACATTTTTGGATGAAAATTTAATTTCTCGAAATTTACTGAAATTAGATAAGTGGGGGATTGTATATGTAAAACAATACATTTTACCAAGATTTTTCTAAAAAGAACATTTCTAAAATAATTTAATTTTCGTAATTTCCACGTTTTATTTGGTAGTATTATTATTGCTATACTTTGATTTAGTTCTAATTTAAATTGACTAGAAGGAGGCTTATTTTTTTGTTAAAAAATGATTTTAGTGCCATTTTTAGCCCGCATTTATTGCAATATAATTCTTTTTATTAAAACGTCTTCCAAAAATAAAATATACTTTTCTGAAACTATATTTTAGGAACATTAGATGATTTAAAGTATAATTAATCTGACTTGAAATGAATATTATTTACTTTAAGTTTAAAATATCACAGAAAAGCATATTTTTAACCCGACAGTAGCCGTTTATTTAAGATGTTGACATGTTGACAGCGGGATGACAGATCTAATATTGTTCTACGGCGACATTAACTGTACGACAGAAATTGACGTAAGCGCCTTTTTTTTTTAATATAATTTTTATGTACTCAGTAGACTTAAAAAATTATGAAAATATTTTCCGTAATCTAATATTTTATTGAATTGTAGATAGTTTGGCTTTAAATTTACGCTTATTTTCTGATAATGTCTATCAACATCTGTATCTATCAAAAATCGGCATGTTTATACACAGATAAAAACAAAATTCAAATTATTGGTGTTTGGTGATTTGTACTAAGCTTTTCCATTTATAATTAGTAAATATAGTTTTTACTAAATAATATCATTTTAAAAGGGTGAAATTAATACAGAATATTAAAAGATTTTTTAAAAATTATTCTAAAATAACAAATAATGAAAACAATTCTTGTAAAAGTTTACTATTCATCGAAAAATGACAATATCCCATGTCAGAAATATAGACAGTCATAAAAAAACTGTACATAATATATCTTATTTATTAAATTAAAATAATGTCTTAGATTTATTGCATTTTTTTATTTTACGATTCTGGACAGAATTTCGGTAAATGGTGTTTCTGTTTTATAAAAAAAAATGTTAACCTAAATTATCCAAGCAGTTCTACTTTTAACTAATAAAAAATATTGAGTGAAATTTAATTTCTCGAAATTTCATGAAATTAAATGTGGATGGAGGGTAACATATAAAAATATTTCCACCAAGATTTTCTAAAAAATTCTAAGATAATCTCATTAATTTGTGAATATGTCTTGAAAGTCTCATTAATTATTTGACTTTTTACAAGAATTTCCAAATCAATGTGTTTTCATCGGAAAAAAGCGCAAAAACCTTAATAGTAAATATTACATTGACTGCTGACGCAAAAAAAATTAACCAAAATTTCGAACGTGCTAGAAAGAATTAAAAGTAATTAATAAAATAATAAAAAAAATACTTTGGTCTTTCTTCTTAATAATAACATAAACATTTTGACGATAAAACTTTGCAGCTTTTTCAACATGCTATGCTGTTTTGTCAGCGGAAAGATGGAGGTCCCTCTTATTATTTATCTTCAAATGCTGCAAAAGAATTCAAGAGTTCTTCCAAAAACATTTTTAGTGTCAATACCAACGGAATTTTTCCAAAAAAAAGCAGTGAAGAGCTGCCTGATAAATGGTAATGAGTCAGTGCAAACAATGAAAAATATATCATTGGATGGAAATGTAATTAGTTCGTTGTTTTTTGAAGAATAAGGTTAAAAAGCAAAAAAAAAAAAAAAAAAAAAAAAAAAAGGATATTATTTATGGCTCGACCTCATATATTCAACCTTAATACAGAAACAATAAAGAGGGGTAGATTCAATTATAGATAACTCAAGAAAGTACACGAAACACGCAAGCGTTTCTTCACAGTAGATAATATTAATGAAACAATCATATCACTTTATGGATATAGGGTGCGATGGATAAATAGTCGTCTAACTGACGCCATATGAAAATGACACTAACATTTCATTTTAACAGATATAGAGGATGCGATGGATAAATAGTCGTCTAAATGACGCCGTATGAAAATGACACTAACATTTCATTTTAACAGATAGAGAGGATGCGATGGATAAATAGTCGTCTAAATGAAATGACGCCGTTTCATTTTAACAGAAAAGGATGCGATGACAAATGACTAAAATGACATTTCATTTTAACAGATAGAGAGGATGCGATGGATAAATTGTCGTCTCAGTGACGAAAAAATGAAAATAACACTTGCATCTCATTTTAACAGCTACACAAAGTGCGATGGATAAATTCTCGTCTAAATGACGCAAAAATGAAAACATACTTTTAACAGATATACAGGGTGTGATGGATAAATTGTCGTCCAAATGTAGCCATAGGAAAATGACACTAACATTTCATTTTAAGATATAGAGGATGCGATGGATAAATTGTCGTCTAAATGAAGCAAAAATAAAAAAACTGACATCTCATTTTAACAGTTACACAAGGTGCGATGGATAAATTGTCGTCTAAATGACGCAAAAATGAAAATGACACCTCATTTTAACAGATATACAAGGTGCGATGGATAAATTGTCGTCTAAATGACGCAAATAATCTCATTTTAACAGATATATTTACCAAAATTACACAAAAAATCTCTTGAAATACTAAAGAGTAAATTTATTCAACAAAATCGTCATTGCCTTTAACCACGGCCTCCAGACGACTTCGAAATCTCCTGCCACTCTTTTGGG